AAGTTCAAAGTTGTGGTTATGTTGTAGGCTCATGTAATTAAGTTTTTATACTCGAACAATGTATTTATATAAAAACACATAATTAAGTAGAAATTTTATTTTAAAATGAGTGAATATATTGAGTATTTTCATTCATGGAGAACTATTGAAATGTATTCTACTATCATATTCTTAAAGTGAAATTTGCACTCAATAGGACTAAAACAAAAGTCATTTCCCATTGTAGGACTCAAACTTTTTTATTTTCTAAATAGAACTTAATATATATAATGACTAGTGAGAAGAATAATGTTCAAGTGATACTGGACATTTAGTTGAATAATGACTAATAGATAATGACCAATGGTCCTACATTGGGAAATAAAAACATATGGTCATATATTGAGAAAGTCATTATGTTTTAATCCTATTTAGGTAAATTACTCATTCTTAAATTCATATTGTAGTTAGTTATCTTTCATTTCAAGGTGCAATAAAACATGAAATATTTGCACTAAATAGCACTAAAACTTAAGTCATTTTCATAAATAATACGGAGTAGCACTTAAACTGTTTTATTCCCTAAATAGCACTTAATAATGTTCATAATGTCCAATGATGACGAACATTTATTTGAATAATGACTAATGAATAATGACTAAAAGTGCTACATTGGGAAAAAAAACACATGTGATGCTATTTAGGGAAAGTCATTATGCTTTAGTGCTACTTAAGTAAATTTCTCATAAAACATACGTGTGCAATCCTTTACAAATTAAATTGAAAAATCGAATTGATATTGTAATACTCCCTCCATTTGGAAAAAGTGTTCCTATTTTGACTTTGTGTAAAAATAAAGAAGTGTTAAATTGTAGTTGACTTCCAATTTTGCCCTTGATGTGATGGGTAAAAGTAAGATGTGATGGATTGAGTATTAGAGAAAAAGTATGATGTGATAAGTAGGGTATGAAAAAGTAAGGGTAAAAGTGGTTTTTTAATAGAAATTAGAAGTGTTTTGTTGGAAGTGAAAAAAATAAAAGAGGAAGAGTTTTTGAGAATGGATGAAGTATTAAATTGTGGTACCCATTAATAAAATATATGTGCAAATTAATAAAAGGATAATAATAAAGTATTAGGTACACAATATGCTTGGCAAATCACTAGACTATCTTACCGAATTAATTTGGTACCAAATAGGTGAGGGTAGTGTTACCTTCTATACCAAATTGTCACATAGACAATTCAATTCCAATTCTGGTGTTTGATACCACAAAAATTATGTGAATTTGGAATTGATAGTACAAAAAATGAATTGAAATTGGTGAATTCAATTTTATGGAATTGAATTTAATGGAATTTCAATTCCAATTCAATTTTAATTCCATCAATTCCGTATACCAAACGGACCTTACCGATTCCATACCTTCACCCTTACCGCCATAACTGGCCTTTCACCCGTGACACTAAATTAACAAAGGGGTGATTACCGATTCAGAACATGTTATTTGTGATTTTAGAATTATTGATTATTTTAGTAATTTAAATTAATTAAATCTAAACAAAAGATTTAATAGACGTTGAAACAAGTTTAGAAGGAATAGAACCTGTTACACTGTTTCTTTTGTGAAAATCTTTTGAATTTTCGTAGACGAGATTCAAAATGAAAATGAAGATGAAAAATCAAGTATTCAAATACTCTCTCCGTCCTCAATTTGATTACAATTGTTTTTCTCTCCTCTCAATAACTTTTGTTTACGCGATTTCATTAAGTATTTGATAAAATAAAATATTCTTCTCACCTCTTGCTTTGTAGAACTTTTGACATAGTTTTTTAATGTGTAATTTTATTTCTTATCCATATACTGATTTGTAAATAAATTGATTTCAAAAAGTGAGATATTTTGATACGGATATCGTATCGGATAAGGAAGAACTTTGAGCGTTCTTCAAGCTCCGAGAAAATGAGGTAGAGAAAGATGGAAAACTTCAAGCGTTTACGGACTCCAAGAGAATAGAGTTTTGATATTTCTTTATTGATTGATTTGTAATGACAAAAGGGTTACAATATATAGAGATTGAGGAACACTCTACTAACCTAATGGGTTCGGGCCCATACTAAATCCAAACATAATAACTATATAATATTAATAAATAACTAATTAAATAATGTATCTCTTCTTCTGTATCATATTTCTCCTCATAAGTTCCAATTTGTAATCAAATTGGGGACAGAGAGAATATATTTGAGCATTCGAATATAACAGGTTAAGAGCAACTACCTTTACGAAAAAAGTACTTCCTCCGTCCCACAAAAAAGTTTCCATTTTGAATAGTATTTAGTCAAACATTTCCACGCTTTGACTACAAATTGTGAGAAAGGTATATTGAATTATAAAATAAATTTAATATAATTGGATTCATCTTAGGATCTAGTTTTGATATCTCAATTTTTTTAACATTTCTTTATTTAGATTATTTTTAATTTATGGTTAAAGCATGTAACTGTTTGACTAATTTATGATCAAAATGAGAACTTTTTTGTGGGACGGAGGGAGTACTTCGCACTCAAATGTTTTGGGTTTCTAATTGCCTTGCCAATGGGTAGCATTCAAATGCTAGTCTTTTGACAATCGAATGTGTTTGTATATTGGATGTTTTTGCATTCAAATGCTACAATTTAGTAATGGAATGTTTTAGATATTGCCAAACACCACTACAAGAAATCGTTTACTTTGTTTCTCACGGATTATGGCCGTGATAGCTTTCTTCAAGGGAGGTGATGATGTAAGAAAAATTTGTTCTATATAAGATCAAAAGATAGTACGCTTCACTAAATGAGACGACCGAGTATGTTTTATTCCCTCTATGCTTCATAATTCCATATGATTTATCGTATATGTCCTCATTCATTAGCAACAAGTGTTTGATAATGATTAATTATATGAATGACTCTACAAATGTGGTCATTAGAAGAAAATATTGGATAATGACTTATTATTCGAATGACTATTCAAATTTTTTTAATAATCTCGTCTTATTCTACTTGAATTATATTGTGTAATAGATCATTTTTCTTAAAGGCATGACATTATAGAACTTTCTTTTGCCAAATATTAGAGTAGATAAGACTGGTCATATTTAGAGAAAAGTGATATGTTTAAGTCTCATTTGCATAAATTGCCAATGATGTAATCGGCATAATTGACTAAAAATCATTTTTTTGTCAAGGATAATGCCATGAAAAATTTGCGTCAAAATGAAAATGTTAAGAGTTTTATGTGACAAAGTCCTTGACAATATGCTTGACAAAAAAAAATTATTTTTCATTAAAAGTTATAACCTTTTCACGGCCGCCATTATTTTAAGAAATATTTGCACTAAATAGCACTAAGATTTAAGTCATTTCTCTAAATAGCACTTAGATTGTTTTCTTCCCTAAATAACACTCTATAATGTCCATAATGACCAGTGATGACAAACATTCACTTAAATAATGACTAATGGATAATGACTAAAAGTGCTACATTGAGAAAAAAACATATGTAGTGCTATTTAGGGAAAATCATTATGTTTTAGTGTTATTTAATTAAATTCCCCTTATTTTAATTGTGAGAAAAAACTCCTACTGAAAAAATACGCTCGTCGGTTCAGTGTGAGATTGTCACATCCTAGCGATTGCCAAATTCGTGACAAAGGGACATGTAGCAATTCAATGTTAAATTATCGATATATCATGTCCTAAGGAGCGACAAAATCTGTAACATTTTCATTTTCTCCATATAAAAGCCAACACTTTTCTAGCAAAAACGCTAACACGTCTCTCTCCGAAACCCTTCTTCCAAAACGCTCTTAACATTTTTCTCATCTGCTTCCAAAACGCTAGCACACCTCTCTTTCTAGAGATCCTCTAACATCGAAAAAATAATAATATAATTATTGCATGCACGTAAGTTGCATGTAAAAATATAAAATCTTCTTTTTTGAAAAAGAAACTTCATTTTGAAATGGGAAGAATAATGACACTTCAAATTTTTTTTAGTCGCCATGGTCATTCAAACGCAAATAATATGACACTTTGATTACTTAGAAATTTGCAACAAAAAGCAGCTGTAAGACTGGCATATATATCCCTCACGATGCGTAATTTCAAGCATGCACGTACGCACGTACCCTGCACGCCATGCATGCACGAATATACCACACCCACATATACCCCCTCCCTCCACAAAATCTCCCCTTGTTCAAGAAAAATCTTCTAATTTAATTTTTCATGGTTAAAATTTATAAATTTGACTAAATTTTTGAAATAAATACATTATGTTTTGATAAAGTCATAATATTAAGGGTGTTTTTTAAAATATTAAATTTTTATAATATATATCTATGTATGTATAGCATAAATATTACTTCCTCCGTCCCAAATTATTTATCACATATGCTTTTTCAACAGTCGCGGGAACTTTTGTTTATTTCTACGTTTTCATTGGTTATTTCATAAAATAAAATATTCTTGACACCTCTTATTTCGAAGAACTTTTCATGTAGTCTTTTGCTATGTAATTTTTATTTTTTATTTCTTTACCAATATATAAATAAAATGAATTGAAAAAACTTGATATTTTATCTCGGTAATAGAAATGTGACAAATAATTTGGGACGGAGGGAGTAGTGTCCAAAGTATTACTCCCTCCGTCCCAAAAAGATTTACACCTTTCAAAAAAATTACATCACACAATCTCCTACCCATTTCTATTAAAAAACCACTTTTACCCCTTACTTTTTCAAACCCTACCTATCACATCATACCTTTTTTCTAATAATCTACACATCGCATCCTACTTTTATCCATCATATCAAGGGTATTTTTGGAAAGTCAACACAAAATTATCTCTCCCTTAATTTCAACTTTAGTCAAAACGTGTAAATCTTTTTGGGACGGAAGTAGTACATTAGAGTTCATTCTAACAAAATACGTTAGCGAGAATTGAAATTATTTATTTATTAGAAAAAATTCGACTGACCAAAAACATAAAATAATGTCCATAGTCTTTAATTGACGACATACAAAGGCAGGTTGAATGAAAAGACAACGACACTAAATTAAATAAACATATAATCCAAACGAGACCTAATAGAAGAACTATTAAGTTAATCCTCGTTGGTATTATTGCTCCCTTGAGATGATCTTGATGAACAAAATATCAACTCCATCAGATCCATATCCCTCCCCTTTCCTCCCTTCCCGGTCAACGCCGATAACGGCGATGGAGAATAGTCGTACGGAGGGTACGATAATCCCGCCCGACTCATTGCCTCGAACGGGTCTGCCCTCGCCGAGCTTCCATCTCCACCGTCCAACAGGTACGAGATATATCTGTCGGCCGCCGGATGATGGTTCCCTTCTGGAGGCACTGGCAATGTGACAGTTGGCAATGACGGTGGTAGGCCACATTCTGAACCCTGATAAACCTCGACGCCGCCCTCCAAGGGAAGGCAGTCGCCGTAGGACATGTCCTGATCCTGAGAGCCCTCTATCACGCTGTCGTCGTAGGACATGGCGTGACAGTCGTCTGTCACGCCATGGTCCCTGAGTGGATTCCCTCCGAAGAGGGTCTGCATGAAGATGATGTCGTCTTCGTGAGACGACATTTGATGGATCATGAACGAGGGCGAAACGTCATCGTTCGACAGCGACGGGTCGTTGAGTGGGATTGGGGGAGGACGACGACGGTCCTCCGAGACGACAGCGGCGGCGGAGGAGGAAAAGGATTTGTCGTTGGGGGTGAGGTACTTGGTTCTTATGTAGTCTTGAAGAACGGTGGATTTGTTGGTGGGATTGGAGGAGGTGGAGGAGGAGGATCCGCCGCGGACGCCGTGAGCAGCGGCCTCCGGCGGCAGCTTCTTGGTGGTGGTCTTCCTCTTGGAAGTCTGTCTTCTCTTAGTGGCATTCCAGTGATTCTTGATGGAGTTTTCGGTCCTTCCGGTAATTCTCTTTGCAATCTCAGCCCATTTGTTCCCAAGCTCTTCATGTGCTTCAACCAGCACCCTCTCCTCTTCTTCACTCCAACTATCTTTCTGTATCACACCATTTTCATTCCAACAATCAACTAATTAATTAATTCGTTAATCACAAAAAAACAACAACAATAATAATAGGGAGTAATAATATACTCCCTCCATCCCAAAAAAATTTACGCGTTTCAAAAAAATTGTGTCCCACAATCCCTTACCCATTTCTACTAAAAAAACACTTTTACCCCTTACTTTTTCAAACCCTACCTATCACATCATACTTTTTTTTCTAATAATCTACACATCACATCATACTTTTACCCATCATATCAAGGGTATTTTTGGAAAGTCAACACAAAATTATCCCTCCCTTAATTTTAACTTTAGTCAAAATGGGTAATACTTTATGGGACGGAGGGAGTATAATAATAATAATACTCCCTATTTTGGTTTTAATAATAATAATAATAATAATTTCGTCCTAAAATATTGTTCTCAGTTACTATTCATACAAACTTTAATTACTTTTTTTATTTATATTTGTTAGTTATTTGATAAAATAATCGTGTCACCTCTTATTTTTTAGAAGTTTGATGTAGGTTTTAAATATATAAATTTTATTTTTTAATTTTACACCTACAATCAAATAAATTGAGTTGAAAATAAAGTCGGTGAAACATCGTAAATAGAAACGGGAAGAACGTTTTAGGACGGAGAGAGTAATAGTAATAATAATAATAATAATAATAATAATAATAATAATAATAATAATAATAATAATAATAATAATAATAATAATAATAATAATAATAATAATAATAACAACAACAATAACAACAACAATAATCCATCACTAACTAGATAATAATTTACAATTTTTCTATTTGTCAACTCTAAATTTAGTTTTTATTTCTTAAAAAGAGAAATAGCTAGCCTAGTTCACATTCCTCTCTTCTTTAGGAATCTCGATCACATTATTTTGGTTTTCATAATATTGTAAGTCAAACTGCATTTCTTTATTTGAAATAAAAACAAAGAAAGAATGAAAAATAATAGTCATCTCTTCAATATAATTAAGGAATTAAAGCTTAAATCTGCGAGTCCCCCAAAAAAACATTCACATTTCTTTATTTGTCTCACAATCAAGATCCAAATTTCATTTGAAGAAATGATTATACTCCTCCGTCCCAAAAAGAATTTCTTACTTTGATTAACGTGCAAAATCCCGTGAATTTTAAAATGATTTTATTTGCAAATTGGTAAGAAAATAACAAATAAAAAAATTAGATTTAAAAACTACATCGAAAACCCTACAAAATAAGAGGTGAAATAAATATATTTTATGTTATTAAATGATCAATAAAAACACGCAAACAAATACTCCTATCCTAATAGTAAGAGTTATTGAGAGACCGTAATAGTGAACAAGAAAGACTTTTTGGGACGGAGGGAATACTATTTACATAATTCTCCTATCCTATATACATAGTTTTTAATTGACAACTCGATTTAAATATTTGTTAATAATCAATAGTCATGTTCCATCAAATGCAAAGTTTTATACATATATAAATTTAATTTTGAGACGAAAGAAAGAAGCGAGCTAGTAATAATAATATTATTAATATTAATATTAATATTGATATTAATGTTAATATTATTAATCCTAATAATAAAATTAAAAGTTGGATTATTAAATAGAGTAATGACAAAACGAAAATCTAATGATTATGTAAGAAACGGTTTGACTGTTGATTGACACCAACTACGAACGACGCAAAAACTGGGCTGGTGTTTCATATGAACAAATGGGACTTCATCAATTGAATCTTATAAAGCAAAAAAAAAAAATCAAAATGAAATAAAAATGGTAAACAAATCCAACATAAAATCTAATCAAACACACATTTTTTCAATCGGCGATGGATTGTGTTTTCAGCAATTAATTAATCAAAACCCAGCCAAAAAAACCAATTAATTAAGTAGATCTCCCTTCACACATAGATCCATGTATCAGATTTTGTTTTTTTAAAAAGAAAATTGAAATCTCAAATGTAATGTTAATATAAGAAGAAAAGAAAAAGAGGAAAGAAAATTATTAAACCTTAATATCGGGACGAAGATGGTTTTGCCACCGCTCGCGACATTGTTTTCCGGCCCGACCGACCATTTTGTCAGCCACTTGAGCCCATTTTCTCACTCCATATTGCTTCACTAATCTGATCAAATTCCTTAAACCCCACAAATTATAACAATCAAACAAAATTAGTTAATCCATCAAAATGTATGGTAGCATCACATTTTTCTTTAGGTCTGGATATGTTTATTTTGGGACAGAGAGAGTACGTAATACTGACACACATACCTGTCTTCTTCGTCGGTCCACTGGCCCTTGATCAGCGGGGGAGAAGATCGACCTTTCGCTCTCTTCCCGGACCCCTTGTCGAACGCGAGGCCACCCGATCTCAGGCCGAGATCGGAAACGGCCGCACTCTCGGTAAAGGCGGATTCTTGGAAATCCAGCCAAGACACGGCGGACGACGAGGACGACGAGACGTCGTAGAAATTGTGATCCGTAACTAGCGAATTTTCTCTCTTGTTTTCTAGTTGTTGCTGATGGTCCCATAGAAACCTGTCCAGTGACAACCTGGGAGTTGATCGGAGATGGTGGCGGCCAAAAAGGCCGCCACCGCCGCCGCTTCCGCCGCCGCGCATCTTGGAAAAGCTAAAAAGGAAAATGTGGCAAGAAGGAGAGGCTCAAGTGGAAATGAAAAGGAGGAGAGGAGTGAGGTGAGGTGAGGGTTTTATTCTTATTCATCTTCTTCTCTTTTTCTTCTTCTTCTTCAATACTCCGTATAACATAATTATACCTATTATTTATTTATTAATATTAATATAAATATTAATGTAAATAATAAATATGCAGGGCTGGGGGGAAATTAAATGGAGTAATTAATAATAAATATGGTTGGAGAGCTCATTGCAAGGCTTGTAATATGCCATCAGTTGCCAAAACGATTCCGTTTTGATGTGGATCCGACGGCTCATATTTGACTCTCTCTCCTGTAAACTCCTGAGTTTCCTCTTCGGACAAAAAATCTTAGGTTATGTCAACTTTTCTTTATTAAAAACATTGCCTTCCTTTCCATAATACTACGCTTTTCTTCATCTTTTAATTTCGCACATTTGTAATTAAAAGTGTGACGTGATTATGGTTCATTTAGGAATGGAAAAAAAAAACATAGGAGTATTTTTTTCCTTTCATACTTGGTACATTATTTTGTCACTTTTTTTTTAAAGTTTCGTCACTTTTAATCTAGCTAGTGTGTGTAGTAGTAGACCTGACAAAAAATGATCGGATACAGAAAATATTGGGTTTTGAATAGATATTTTGTTAATGAATTTGAGGATGACCAAACTCGAAATGAATTATTAAAATGATTCAAATTCAAATCGGTAAGATAAGGATTTCGAAATTATGTATGCACTATGATCCCTATATCCCATTTGATTCTTGGCAGAATGGTTCGCGATGTTTGATTTCTGTTAATTTAAAATCATTTCATTTTAATATTGTTGTAAAATTTAAAAGTAAAAGTATTACTCCCTCCGTCTTAAAACTTTCTTCCCGTTTCGCAAAACGAAGAAAAATCCAAGTTTTTTCAATCTATTTTATTTAAATATTGGTATAGAAATAAAAAATAAAACATACATATTTAAAAACTACATCAAAAGTTCAACAAAACAAGTGGTGACAAGAATATTTTATTTTATCATATAGGCCATGAAAAAATACAAATAAATATAAATTCCCATGAAGTTGGAACAGTGCTCTGGGAAGAAAATTTTAGGACGGAGGGAGTATTTAAAAATTACGTCAAAAGACTGATGAAATAAGAGATGACACGTCCATATTATTTTATCCAATTATAGATGAAATATACTCCGTAGTATCTTCTTTCATATTATTTGTCTAGTTTTGACTTCTTATAATCTATCCAGATCAAATATTGACTTATAATTAAATAAATTTATAGCAATATTAATTAATAAGATAAAATACTATTTTGAAGGGTGTTGCTATATCCACCTTCATTTTGGATCAATTCACTTATTTTGTGTCAAATGGAAAGCTTTGTCCTTAAATGTTAATTGGTTTATTTACATCTAAGTTTCTTCTTTTGTATTTTTAAGGGTAAACTTGTCAATTTAACATAAATAAGATTGATTTAGTCAAAATGATAGTGAATATATATAGCAATATTGTATCTTATTTTGAAAATGTTTCACAGGCCAAATATAACAAACTTATTTGTTGTATTAATATGTAATACTTCCTCCGTCCTATATTGTTCTTCCCGGTTCTGTTTACGAGGTTTGACTGACTTTATTTCCAACTCAATTTATTTGATTGTAGGTGTAAATTTAAAAATAAAATTTATATATTTAAAAACTACATCAAAAGTTCTACAAAACAAGTGGTGACAAGACTATATTATTTTATCAAATACCTAATGAAAATAGATAAAGAAAATGATTAAAGTTTGACCGAGTAAAAAGTAAGTGGGAAGAACATTTTAGGACGGATGGAGTATAAATCTTATTTACTCCGTAGTTAATAGCTAAAGTTTATCAATTTTGACTCAAAGGATCAAAATTAGATAAATATTCTAGGACAGAGTTAGTATACATATAGGAGAAAATAATTTGACCACATGAAAAGTAACTGTAAAAAATGAAATTAATGAGACAAAGGGAGTAGTGATAAGTACTTTTTTTTGTTAGACTACCAGTGTTCGACCCGCCTTTAACGAAATCCGACTAATCCTGATTATGGATTAAGGTTGAAAGTCTCCCAATAAGTGGTCGGGAGTAGTGAGTACTTTAGTATGAAATACGGCATATTAATATGTGATAACAAATAATGTTATAATTATATTTTTGTTTCTAAATTTTGGAGGATTTAATTTTTTCTTTATACTACGTACTAGTGTATAAACATCATTTTTGTTTTTTTATTTTCTATTTTGATACTTTTTCTATGTTTCACTCATATTTAGGTATATTTCTTCACATAAAACATTAGCAAAAAAATCAAATGGGACCGAAAGAATATATTTTCCCAAAAACTCTTTCATATTTCTTTTTTTCTTGTCCCACAAACTCTTTCCGTTTTCTATTAGAAAGACACTTTTATTCCTATTAATTTTTAATCTAACTATTACATCATTCTTTCTTAACCTAAGTATCACATCACTTTTACTAATATCTTATTGCATTCTTCTTCTTTCTACTCCTGCCCCGATCCATTTTATTCTTCTTCCTCGATTTTTCTTCAATTTCATTTTTAAAATTTTAAACTCTTTTTTTTGTCAATTTTGAATCTATTAGTTTTATTTTATTTATTATTATTTATCTATTTTTATTTATAAATAAATATTTGTATAAAATTTATATAAATTTTGAATTAAAAATGATAATATTGTAAAAGAAATGGAGAAACGGATTTTCAGGACGATATCAATGCAGGATTTTGGGGCGAGTAGAAAGTCAGTGGAATGCTAATGTGGCAAGAGTTGGGGCGGGGCGAATTTACATATCATTGTTAATGCTCTAAAGGCCCGTTGACCATTTTTTGTCATGTGTTCTTAGGTCTACCTTGCCCTGTATCCATATGTTGATTCATCATTTGATCAACCTTTCTCATCGGATGCACTATTGGTCCTTTATCAATATGGGCCAAATTATTTAAGACGAGTTTCCACCATCCGTTCTACAATACGTGTTATTCTAACTTTAGCTCTCATATTTTCATTTTTATTTTATCAATACACGTATTGAAACAGTAAACACAAGCAGTTAACAGTAGCATCTTCACTACCTAAGAGCTCACCACGATGTCTCGTCGCGAATAATAATCACAAATAATTTAAAGATAAATAGATGATTCATAGACGATTATGATCTTTATTATTGTGGAACACTTGTGATGGGTTATTAGCATTGGGGATGCTAGGGGTACACCAAAGATGTACCCAAAATGTACACTACCCATTTTTCTATCTTAGGATTTTTATTTTTCTAAAATTTCCAAAAAAGAAATGGACACTACACGGTAGAAAATCAAGGGCAAATTATATTATACATCCGGTTGTATCTAATTTTGGGTACAATCAAAAAATTATTTATGTTATGGATTTTATTTAAATGAAAATGAACACTAATTAAGTTATTTGAAAGTGAATACTGTTTTGTTTCAAAATGAACACCACATTATTTGTAAATAAATACGGAGTATTATAATTATATTGATCCAATGTGTGAAAATGAGTACTGCATTATTTTAGAATCAGGTACCACGCTAATTATATTTGGAAGTTAATTATATTTGGGCTTGAATGAAATTCAGATTTTAGAGTTGCGCGACTGACAATCCAGAGAGGCGAGACCTGCTAGAGCGACGGAACGACGACGACCGGCGGGGAGAATTCGAGACGAGCCGAAGAGGAACAGTGCTAAGCTGCTGCATCGTAGACGAAGGGGAGATCGGCGGTTGTCTCAAATAAAGGTAAACTCGTGAAATTTTTCTTGATATTCTCTTTTTTATCTTTGTAATTTATTTGTTGATTTTAAATTTCATATTTGATTGTTTGAATCAAATTCAAAGCATTAGTTATTTAGTTTTAGGGGCTATAGCCTATAACCCTAAAATGTTATGCTTATATTCTTTGTACAGTTGCAATTTGTTTCGCAGATTGTCTAGGAAAATGACTGTATTAGTAAGATTGATCTTATCAAATGATTATTTCACGTATTCATTTTTCTTATTTCGGGAAATGATTGTGTTAAGCGGATTTTATTGGAAAATGAATAAAAAATATAAGCATTCGGGGTTTTTCAAACTTCAGAGAAGAAAAAGAATTGAAGATCTAGCTCAACCACAGAATAGCTCTTAAATTATGTGTTATGTGGTGTTTATTCACCCCTTTCATCTTTAATTATTCAAATCTGAAACCAGTAATTCTAAAATTTGTTGTGGTTTTGTTTTTTCTTGTGAAGTCTAGGAATTATTCATGAATACAAATAACTTTAGCGCATCTGGCTTTGTGATAAAATTCAGCTCAGCTACATTTTTAGGCCTAAAATTAGCAGTGCTACCCAATAAAGTTGATTCATTTAGGCTTAAATTATGCACTTAGAAAGGGGTTTCATGTGTTCATTTGCAATGTGATCTAAGCTTGTTCATGATTTTCTTTGTTAGATTTGATTTGCACATTTTGCCTATTCTTTTGGTTCCATTGTAGAATGATTGTATGAGCATGGCTGAAGAAAAATATAGAATAAAAATTACGAGTAATGCTATCATATGGTAGCCATATATGTAAGAAATTGAAATGACACTCGGCATCATTTTACATAGAAATGGTGGGTTCTCTTTTGGTCTGCTGAGCCCAGCATTGTATGAGCCAAACACTAAAATTTCAAGCTTGTTTAGAAACGGGTGAGCCTGACTGCCCGCTTTTATATGTGACTTGTGTTGATTTTATCACCAGTTTGTTTTAAGGATCACAATGGGGGAGAAGACAAAGTACAGTATAATTATCCCAACTTACAACGAACGACTCAACATCGCCCTTGTTGTTTACCTCATATTCAAGCATGTCAAGTAATCTTCTTTTCCCTTTATCTATACAAGGATGCATGTTGTAGCATTTCTAGTTCATCTATTTGTTGCTTCAATCTTATTATGCTATGAATTCAATTATTGTGTGTATATTGTAGTGTAGCTGGCAGACTACATTTTTTCCCTTGTCACTCTGTGGTGTTTCATCTTGTGGGCTCTCTAATCATGGTTTATTGTGTGCATAGTGAATCTTGGCAATAATAAAGTTTATCAGCTCAAGCTAATATGTTTTGTGGTTATTTAAGCTTAATTTGTTTAGTCGAATCTTCATGACATGGACCAAATACGATATTGCGCTAAAGCTAGGTCGTTGCCCGAAAGCAACGCTATGTATGGCTTGAGTACATTGTCAAATGAGCTAGGGCCACTGCATCGGTGCTTGGTTTTAGTGCAAAATAAGCAAAGGTTGCCTTGCTTTCATGAACGAACGCGGGTAAATAAACTAGTTCACAAAGGCAAAGGTCAACATAGGTTGTGGTTTGGGACATGGAACATAGGCACACTTACAGGCAAGTCTATGGAGTTGGTGGATACTAAGATACTGAGAAGGATTAATATTATGTGCTTGTAGGAAACAAAGTGGGTGAGAGTGAAGGCTAGGGAGATGGACACCTCAAGCTTCAAACTATGGTATACAGGAAAAGTAAAGAATAGAAATGGAGTTAGTGTTATTGTGAATTAACAATTGAAGAAGGATGCGGTCGATGTTAACAGGGTGGGAGATCGGATCATTGCATTAAAGCTGGTGGTAGAAGGGAAGGCTATT